CAGGGATGGGATGAGGCAGAGGCTGGGCTGGGCATGGGGAGCGGGAAGCCATGGGGATGTCACTGGGTTTATCTCACCAATGGCACGGACTTGGGGAGAGGTGCTGCGGGCAGAGAGGTGCTGCAGGCAGAGAGGTGCTGTGGGCAGAGAGGTGCTGGCAGCCCTGGGCACCATTTCATCCCTCTCCCACGCAAGAGCAGCCAAGGGAGTCCGGGGCAGAGGTGCCCCTTGGCCGAGGTGTGGGCAGGGCAGGCGGCAGAGGCGGGGGCTCAGCGCGGTGCCGGGCAGGGGAGGCAGTGGCCGTGCAGCCCGGCGTGTCCCCGCTCTCTCCCCAGAGCGTGGCAGCAGGGCGAGCGGACGGAGCGGAGGCTGGGGGGGGTGGAAGGGGCGGGGGCACCGGCTGGCCTGGCGGCACTGGCTGGAGGCGGTGGAGGAGAGGCTGCCCGCCCTGCCGGAGCCCGGCCCTGCCCTGCAGGTAATGGGCTCGCCCCTGGGCGCGCGGCAGCTGGCAGAACCGCTCAGAGCCAGGCAGGACCCAGCCCACGTCTCCACCAAGGCTGGTGAGGTCTTGGTCCCCAAAAGGCAGGATGGTGCCTGGCCGCGGCCAGCTGGGAGACCCTTCAGCATGGCCCCACAAACCTGCTGGTGACTCCCGCGGGCCGCACGGGGTCCTGTGTCCCCCGGTTCCAGCCTGACCGTGCTCGCCCGGTCCATGGCCCAGGCGTCCGACACCACCGTCAGCTGCTGGGGGCTCGGAGCCTGCTGCACCCGTGGCCCTGCTGGTACTCGTGGCATCGCTGCCGCAGAGCCGCGCTGGCGGCAGGGCCACCTTCTGCTCTGGGCTCAGCCGTGTCCCACAGCACCGCTGCCCAGGCGGTGTGTGCAGCCGTGCACGGGGTGTGCAGCCATGCACAGGTTGTGCAGCCATGCACGGGCTGTGCAGCTGTGTGCCCCTGCCCAGGTGAGGGGTGTGCAGCCGTGCAAGGGGTGGGCAGCCATGCGTGGGGAGTGTGCAGCTGTGTCCCCCTACCCAGGTGAGGGGTGTGCAGCCATGCACGGGATGCGCAGCCAAGTCTCCCTGCCCAGGCAAAGAGTGTGCAGCCATGCACAGGGAGTGTGCAGCTGTGTCCCCTTGCGCAGACGAGGGGTGTGCAGCTGAGTCCCCCTGCGCAGGCGAGGGGCGTGCAGCCATGTGAGGGCTGTCGCCCTGCCTGGGCACGTGCAGCGGTGTCCCCACTGTCCAGGCCTCATGTGCCCCTCTGCTCGCTGCCCCCGTGCCTGGAGCCGGGAGAGCGCCAGCGTGTCCTTCCCCCAGCCTCCAGCTGGCACAGGCCGCCAGCTCCCGCCACCCCGCCTGCGCGGAGGAGCAGCGGGGGCATCCGG